TCAATATGCATTCATCAAACCGATCAAAAAACTATATATAATTGATCTCATCAATATTTTCACATCAAGGTGTCAAGATAGAAAGTTTGTGAATTGGAATTTGAATATCAAAAAGCAAAAATTATATACCGGTACACCTGTCATGAAATAAAAGTTTCTTTATGATATTAGATCAAAATGGAAGACATATTCAGGAATATTGTTTCCTCTGGCAAAAATATTACAGTATGTGTTCCTGACGGAATAAGGGTATAGAAGATTTGTTCCAAAAACTTTAGAAAAAGTTCTGTTATGGACTTCCGTCTTTTTTTGCAAATTTAAAGTATTTAAACCCTTCACAGTTAAACAAAACAAAGGTTTTAAGCTATGACAAAAGAAATAGCAGAAATAGACACGTAACATTTCAAATGTTTCAAAAGCAGATTACATTTAGTATCAATTGAAAGTATTCACTAAATTTGTAGTTTCAGGTGTCTTCATAAGTAAAAATAAATTAATGAACTATTGTTGTCAAAAAGTATTTTCTCAACTTATTCTTAAACCCGAGGCGGCGAAGCTAACACGCGAAGCAGACAATAACACGACTGGTAAATAAAGTTAGTTAGAGGATCCATGCATGTTGCATGTAATGATAATTGTTTTGTGAATCAGCAACTCATTTCAAAAAAAATCTTACGATAAAAAATACTCGCAAGTCATGAAATATTTTAGTATAACTTACCATAAATTTTAATCGTAAGATTTTTTTTGTGAAAAGAGCCGCTGTATTGTGAACTAATTGTATTACCTGTGTTTGATAAAAATGAAATTTCTGAACTTTCAAGTGTTTGGGCTTCTTAACTGGAAGTACGAAAATATCAAAGTATGGACAATAATGAATATAAACAAGCAAACCATTTTTTCATCAATTTTCTTATTAACATGTATATTTGTTTTATAAAATGTGGTTGAGTTAAACCTATGTTATTTGCGCCTATCTAGATCAAATGTCGTTAAAGTCAAACACACAAAACAAAACCAACAAACAGGATGACTATTAATCTGAAAAAAGAAATGAAAACTCGCACATGATTTCGAAAGCAGGATCAATCTGTACTTGCTACTACAGAAAGCTAGCTAAGGTAGTCGTAAAGCTGTTGCATGGTTGAAGTTTACCGCACGAGAAAACTAAAAAATCAACAACACTTCTAACAGCTTTCATAAAGTATCATCATAAAATTTAATTGAAATCGTCAGTATTTGTGAGAGGCCAATGGACTTTCAAATTGTCAGATCATCGAAAGAAAGAAACGATCCCGAGTTTGAATATATCATTTTTCATTGTTTTTAGTTCTATTTTCTATATTACAATTAAAGGGAGGTTGAGAAATACCTGTATCTGTTACACTGCAAAGTAATGTTTGTGTAAATGTAAGGTTAAGGCAAAATCGCCATCTAAAAAAGGGAAGTAATTTTTGACAAAGTTGAAATCATCTCTTTTGGCATATATTTTACTTTCAGTTTTTCTAATTTATACCAATACAGTTATTGTCTAAGGAGATGCAATATTGACTGTGATTATTAGCTTTATTTGTCTGTATTCAGCATATTTAATAAACTCGGGATTATCAACAGAATAGGCACATAATCTAGGTATCTGCAGATATAGATGCGGTAGTCATTATATGCCGATTGCGTCTGTGAGATGGCAGAGTTTACAGAGAGAATACAGTCTGCTGTCTCTGTGACTCAAACGACATTAGTGACGAGTATCATTACATTATGAATTGTAGAACATTTGAAAAAAGAAAGAAAGAAATTTTTAGCACATGCATTACTGTTGGTCAAATACTTATAAATATGTATTTGATCAACTATTTAACTCATTAAAAATCTTAATATTAAAAATATTACAAAAATTTATCAAAGTTATAAATGTGAAAGTCAGTTCAACAAGTTAATTTTAATGTATAGTTCCGAGACATGTGTATGTAATAATTGTGGCTTTATAGTTATGTTCAGATATATGTTCTTTATAACTATATGTAACTAAAATTGAGAATGGAAATGGGGAATGTGTCAAAGAGACAACAACCCGACCAAAGAGCAGAAAACAGCCGAAGGCCACCAATGGGACTTCAACACAGCGAGAAAATCCCGCACCCGGAGGCGTGCTTCATCTGGCCCCTAAACAAAAATGTGTACTAGTTCAGTGATAATGGACGTCATACTAAACTCCAAAACATATAAATGAACTAAAATTCAAAATCATACAAGACTAACAAAGACCAGAGGCTCCTGACTTTGGACAGGCGCAAAAATGCGGCGGGCTTAAACATGCTTTGTGAGTTCTCGACCCTCCCCCTATACCTCTAGTCAATGTAGAAAAAACAAACACACAGCAATACGCACAGTAAAACTCAGTTTAAAGAAGTCCGAGTCCGATGTCAGAATAGGTAACAAAAGAAACTAAGCAAAATGACAATGATACATAAATTAACAAAGGACTTTTAGCAGTTGTAGTTTTATGGGAAATAGGGTCATTCATTCATTGCTTTAATTGTTTAAAATGTCAATTTATTTGTTACAATTTTTTATTTTTTTACCTCTTTCTGAAGTTTTTCAATACAAAAAAAAAGATTCACAAGTCTAGATAAAAGATAAAAACATTATTAGGTAATATTTTCGCATATACGACATGATATTGTTACAACCTTAACGCACATCAAGCTGTGATACTGCAATAGAAACGATTATAAATGAGACTTTAACAAAAATATGCTTAGCGTGAAATGAATTCAGGGGAAACTGGCCTTACCTCTTTTTTTGCTTTCATAGATAATATTTTAGTCCTTTTTAATGTATCATTATATGTATATGCAACCATATGTGTTTAAAACCATATTAACTTTGTATAAAACTCAATGATAGACCAGGTCTTCTAAAATCTTTTTCTTTATTCGTATATCTATTAATTTGAATATTTGCAATGATGTAGCCAATATGTGTTGACTTCGATTGATCGACAACCCCTCGGGTTGACTTGGGGTATAGAAATATGGTCATCACTGGGTCTTCTCCCAACCGGCAGTAAAACCCCTGTGGGGCATCCATTTGGCCGTGCGAGATGTATAAATTCGCAGTCACACCTTGTCAGAATAGTGACGTTAAATCCTATGCCCGGTGTGGAGAAAGTGCCACGCTCTCTGCACGTTAAAACCCCTTGCAACAACTCTTTGAGGGGTCCGTAGTTGGCCTTTTTGCATGCTAAACTCCAGTTCCTATCCAATATACCCCAATTTTACAGTGTTATTCTAAATGGAATGAGGACAACTCGAACCAAGACACCTTAAACCAATTTATAGACAATTCTGAGCAGTTTGAAAGACAACTCGGATCAGTTTGAAAGACAACTCGGACCAGTTTGAAACACTTGTCAGACCAGTGGCTCTAACTGACCATCTTAACTTGTCAGTTTGATGCATTTTAATTAGCTTGTGTGTTTTTACCATATTTCTGGTCTCTTACTATTAATTGTTTTTAGCAGGATCAATTATAAAAATAAATCAACTCATATCTTTCAATATAATTCTGTACCGAATGGCTCTCTATTTTATACATGTGTATCTATATTTTACACTTAACGTATTGTTGTATTATATATTATTGAGGGATGAGACTCAAATAAAATAAAGTAGAAGAAGTTCTGAACAAAAATTCAATGCAATGAAAATATAAAGCATATATAATTATATATATTGGTCTTTTCACATGTCAGATCGGCTCTATGTTGTAATAAGTGATCCTAGTGGTTTTTCAAGAGGGTTGGAATGTCTTTAACCGTCAGGCGTCAAATGGTAATTTTCGCCTATCGTTAGCGTCAACTTGATTGAATTTATATTTTTGATTCGTCAAATTACCATTCTTCGTCAGAAGTCTCACTCATTTAACCGTTACCGTTATTATTACAAAAAATTTACCGTGATTCGTCAAAATCAGTTGATTTTTGTTATCGTCATAGAGAAATGAACTCTGTGTTTTTTAGGTTTTTGTGGTCTTTTGTTTGTGTTTTCGTCGTTTTTCTTTTGACCATGGCAGTGTCTTTTTTTCTTCGACTTATGGTTTTTAATGCCCCCTTAGCATCGTTTCCTCGGTGGAAAAAAGTGACTTAAGTTGCATTATACATATACATGTATTACACTTGAATTTAAATCGAACATTTCAAGGTATAGACCCCCAAGAATTTTGTTTGAATATTTTAAAAGCACTCAGGTCATCTTTTGTATGCGGATGTTTGCGAGTTAACCCCATTTTAGATTAAATGTAAATCAAACCATTTTTTTAAAACCATTATTCTTTTTATATTTCTTTAGAAATAGAGTAGAATTTATTTTCAAATAAAACAATATTACATAATTCTTGACCGTAAATCTGTACAGGATTTATACATTGTATTTATATAGTTAGTTTTTTCTCATTCTGAACATGCATGAAATAATTGCCATTGGACGTAAAACCATAGATCAATTAATCGACCGTGCTAACTGCGCTTATATATATAGTACATGTATTTCTGGTCATAGATTTAATAGATATTGCACAGATGTTACTGTATTATTTTGAACTTATGTTGATTTGATTTACGGATATAAGTGATGTATACAAATCAGTTTTCCTCTGAAATATTTATCTACAATAAAATCAATACTGTGTCATTTTATAATTATAAAGATAGGTGTCTTATCGCTGTTGGATATACTTGATATTTAAACTTTATACCCGGGTACTATAACATATTTGAAGTAAACAGTCATTCATCAAGTTAAGCTTGAAAGTACTTCAAACGACCAACAACTGATTCAAATTACCCTACTGAGTGTATTGTTCATTTCATTTTTATAATCTCCATGACCTTGGGCTGTTTTTATTCTGTGTTGACATTTGCCGACAAATTTTAATTCAATTATTTTAACATCATAAAAATTTAAAGCAATAGACTTCATAACATACCTAAACTGGGACCTATAACATGAGAGTTAGAGGATAGAAATGTTATATGAGTGATACAAAACGGATTAAGAACAAAGACCTCACATGTATGTCAATGATAAGAAAGCACTGAACCGTTAGATATGTAAATAATTCTGGTGTACCTATATAACCAGTGCTTGAATGGACTTTGTCATTTAATCAGAACATTACAAACCAGCATAATGGATATTTCGAGCAAAATCATTTTACTTCATCATATGTTGATAACTCTTAGTTTGTCGCTTGCCGCTTCAGATATGTCTAAAGGGGACCCGATGGCTCCACCAGATATGATTAATGCATCGGGAATACTAAGTGTAAAAGGACCTCCACCACATGGTGTTGTTATTGTATTCATGGAAGAAGACAGTGCACCTCAATATTTCAATTATACAGTACAGTGTGGCGATGAAACTTTAAAATATGTCATAAGAGCTAAAGCTGACGACGCTAAGATGGTAAATGTTAAAACTAATGACGTCATTATTGATTGCAGAAACAGACGTTTGGTATTAATGCCTCTCGTGTCACTAACCAACGGTTCTGTTGTTGGTCCGTCGTATTCAGTTGGTGATAAAGTACAAAAACAAAAAGAAAATTATTTTGTACAAGGGACACACACTTTATATACGAATTCAGATTTGCTTGGGAGAACGTTTATAACGTTTAATTTATATAGCTATAATGACCTTGAACTACAACACAATATAACTGAAGATATGGTAGATGTAACAAAAGTACCAGTTATAATCCTACGACTCATGAGACCTATTGATACTGCTTTCAGGGTCATTATTTACGTTTTCATGATTTTCGTTACACTGGCTTTTGGGGCAAAGTTAGACCTTGAGGTCGTTAAAGAAAATATCAAGCGTCCGCTAGCACCATGTATAGGCTTAGGATGTCAGTTCATTATCATGCCGATGGTGAGTGCCAAATAAACTATTAAAACAAATTGAATGTACGATTGATTTGCAAATACATTGAAACTAGATACATATTTACCCTTTTAATTGTGGTTGTAAATAAAAATACAGTTCGGTTAAAGGCGGTTTAAAGGCCAGATTTCCCATAAACAAAGCTTAACCCACGTGGCTGAACCGCATTAGGGATTCGGTTACGAACCACACAGCATAATATTCGAAGAGCTACGTTTATTCTACATAAAGATTCAATTTACATGTGACGCCCGTTCACATTAGATATCTCTAATTACACCTTTTGTAGTGATTTATTGTTGTGAGAACATTTGCTACCACATAAGGGAATGGTCTTTATTTTTAGCTGAGGGGGTCGGTTCAAATTTTCACATTAAAAGTTTTTGTTGGCACCCCCCCCCCCCCCCCCCATGATTCTTATGAACCACATAATGCCCCCCTGAGAACATAGTTTCAAAATCCCCCCCCCCCCCCCCCCCACCACCCACCAAACAAATATCTCTATCGATTAACAGTTGGGAGAAGATGATGACTGCAAGCTACAATGTAAAAAGTTGCAGGCATTGACTTGAAAAATAGCTATGAGAAGTATGTGGAAATTGACACTATCCGTAACAGAATACGGCATAAAGGGGTTTTCCTTGATTGCAGTACTTATTTTCTTGATTTTGAACTGATATATTTTATAATACATTCTACACTATAGTTCTGCTATTTTATATAACATGTATAAGTAGCTTGAACTAATTAATTTGATAAAGATAATTTACTTTGTCTGGTTAGCAGTCATTAGTAAGTGACATTCTGTAAATATTATATTGCCTTGATGTTTCATCATGACCTTCCATATTCTTTATTTTGAAGCTGATGCAACTGATATTAGAAAACATTTTTCAGTTGTATTCTTCTTTGAGAAAACCCTGAGTATACAATAGAGTTTTTCTTCTTGTTTTTTTTTCTTTCGAATATGAATAGCTGACACATGCAAGAAGAAAAATGGACAAAATGAGCATTTAAATGAAATCAAATATATATTGCATTTTTACTTGAACCTTTATGAACAGAATGAAGTCATACCTTAATACAGATTGTCACTGATTTTGATACTGCTAATTCTTTTAAAAGTTAAGCTTTTAAAGGCACAATTAGTCAAATTTGTTTATATACACGAGCATGTGCTATTATAAATGAATGGAATGACGTAAAAATAACAAAACAGAAAATTCTTTGTTCCAATTTATTTGAATGCAACCTATAATTCTACAATATTATATGTAACCTTTCAATAATGATTTTCTCTCAATTATGAATAAATGTAAATTTACTGTCTGACACAGAATTATTTGTGAATGAAAAAACATTAAAAAAATAGAAAACATGGCTCAATTCTTTTAATGTCTTTATTAAAATTTTGAAGTTTTGTAAATGTTTTTTTTGGATTTTAATTTTCTCATCATATAGTTATTTTTTTATTTCAATCCCACTGTTGGAAGTGCAACTGAAGATAGCACATTACAAATATTACTATAATTGTATGGTTCTAGTCCTTCCTGGATCAAATATGTACAAAAATGTACATGATTTATTTGAGATAAAGAGATATATATGTAGGTTAATAATTGTATGAACATTCAATATTTTATTTCAATGTGAAAATGTTTTACGAAATCCGATGTGTATCGTTTTGTGTGTGTGAATGCCATGCTGCCCAACAAGGGCACACCACATTTTGAACATTAAAAATTCTTTTTATTATTCGATATCTTTGTAATCATTTCATAAGATAATTATACATATTTACAAATGATTTTAGAACGTGCACACCTTTTACAGTCCTATATCTATCCTAAGAAATCGCATCAAAATGATTTGAACACTTCAGAAAGTTGTAATAATACACATGTTCAGAAACTTTTAAAACTCATTGTTTCCTGTGGTCAAAACTAGAGACAAATGTTTTATACAGTTGTTAATCTTGAGATATGTCGGATTGTAAACTTTCACATCCTATGGATAAAGGGTCAATATAATAGTTCCATGGAATAATGAACCATAACAGATGACTGTGATATGGAGTGACCAGATTCACTACCCTTGAGAAATTAGACATCCTTCTAGTGCTGTACATGATCAAAGATTTAATAATGACAGAAATTATTTAAAAGATTGCACACTCACTTCAATATCGTCAACAATTTATATGTTTGTCAGACATAAAAACTTTCATTGTGTGACCCCCCAGTCAAATAAAATTTTTGATGCCCCTCCCCCCCCCCCCCCAGCTGTATGATATTTCTGGTAGTGACCCCCCACTAAAATGAACCGACCCCCTCAGCTGATAAATAATGACTGTTCCCTAAAATACCCTTATTCGTAGTGACAGTTTACTTTTTACATTAATTATAATTAGACTTATAATCCATTGATTGATTGTTTCTTTTACGTCCAGTGACAAATATGTATGCATGTTTGGGACGACAACAAACCTACAATACACACAATATTTAGGTTCTGCAAGGTAGGGGTCGACGGGGATGAAGGGTGGGAAATTTGAACAGCCACTGGAAATCTAGGGCATGTTGGATAGGGACAGATATTTTGCAATGCAACAGGTCTCATACGAACTCCTCATGGAGTTGTTGCAATTGTTATTTAACATGCAGAAAGCATGTCTATTTCTCTATGCGATATATCGGAATTAACGTAACCAGATGTGGCTCAGAATTTATACATTCCGCATAGCCAAACAGACGCTCGACTTTGGCAAGGTGTTGACTACCGGTCGGAAGAAGAATAAGAGACGACCATATTTCTATACCCCAGTCAACCCTTAAGGTCGGGACATACAATAAAATTGATATAGCACTATAATTAACTTTTTAGTCTCACTGTCTGGAATATTGGCCGCTGGATATTGGTATTCAATCTATGAATCGTAGATCATAGATGTATGGGTTTATACATCTATGCGTAGATGTATTTGGAACGTCACGTGTATTATTTTTCCTGCTTATATCATTCATTGTCACGTGTTTTTCAAATGAATGCACAATTTTGACTACTGCACATGTATAGTGTACAGTACCGTACCGACTGTACGGTTTTGGTTTTTCTCATTGTTGAATTAGGCCGTACGGTTGACTATAATTGCTTACATCCACTTTATTTAAACTTTGGTGGATAGTTGTCTCATTGGCAATCATACCTCATCTCCTTATTTTTATATACATGTATATGTTTAAATAACCGAAATCGCTTTGAAAGTGTGTAAATAGATATTATGTTTCTATGTCATGGTCATATTTAATGTATTGACACGGTTTTTACATCTTTATTTCATAAAGACCAGTACCATTCGGTTTAAATACCCTTTGAATATTGAGTACAGGGTCCGTTGACTTCATTGGACAACTTGAATGAGTCTGTTGACAATAATTTTGTCAAGTGAATTTAACATTTGTTTATACAGCGGGCGGTATTTCGGATTTTTATGAAATTCTGTGTTCAATTTAGAACTCAATTAACTGCATCTTAGTATTAATAAATGATAAATGTAGCATTTATATTTCTAGAGATAAAAAATTGCGGATCCAGGGGGTTGGAACCCCCCTTTTTTTGAAGATCAATGCATTTGAATGGGGACATATAGTTGGAACCCCTCCCCCCCTTTATCCTGGGTTAGGACCCCCCCCCCCCCCCTTTTATAAGTGGCTGGATCCGCCCCTGATAAAATCATTTAAAGATTTATGAAACAGATTTATAAATGTATAGAATGCACGTATAAAGATTGAAATATCCAATGGATGTATCCTACGAATATCAACGGACCGGGGTATCAATAAACCGAACGATGGTTGTCAAGACCCATTCAGTCAATGTGTCGTAATCCGGTTGGAGTGGTAAGTGATAGTAACCACGCAGATCTACTCGATTCAGGGATGAATTTATTTATAACATAATCCTCCTGTGATACGTAGTGGACACATCAAATAATACTGAAACTCTAGAAATCTCCGATAAAGGTTTTTACTGTGACAGTTTTCTCTACGTTTGGTCACATTATAACTTTAAATTTTTATTAATTGTCGCGGCGCGCGGTCATATGTTGGACTTTGTTCCTGACAACAATGTCGAGTATTACCATTTAAAAAATATAAAAATCTATCTTAACAACTTTAACTGTTATATTGTAAAATAGAAACTAAAAAAGGATGAACATTAGACATTTAATTTTCTATTTATGGTCCATATTGGGGTATGCTTTAATATTGGACTTAAAATGTTCTTTTATATCTTTCTTTGGTGTGTTCAAAACCCATTTGATTTTTATTCCAGTTGGGTTATGCAATAGCCAAGCTGGTGACTGCTGACCGACCGGATGTAGCGCTTGGTATATTTGTAGCCGCTTGTTGTCCAGGTGGTGGAGCCAGTAATATTTACTCATATCTCCTAGGCGGGGATCTTTCTCTGTCTATCACCATGACAGCACTCAGTTCTATCATGGCTTTGGGTGAGTATATGGAATACATCCGTTCAAAAGATGGTTTAAGATATAGAATATAATTTTGAGAAAATAACAGAATACCTTATTTTATTTATCATGGAACTCTTCTGTGGTCCACAGGCATGAGCAGACATCTGTATGTTTTTTCTAACATAAGGTCTGTCCAATAGATATTCTACTTACAATAATCAAAGCAAACGAAAACAATTAAACATCTCTCAAAACAAACAAAAATGAACGGATGGAGCGAAATGAAAAAAAAAAAGATTTAATGAATGATTTCCCCCATTTTTGATTATATTCTTTGGCTAGCATTTATTTGTATTCCTTATGAAATACAGAAATAAAACTTTGTCTTCCAAGTTGATACCCAGTTACGCAAGCACAATGGTAATAGGTTTTAAATCTAAAACATGAATATTTGGAAAGACTTCTCCAGCTGATATAGCTTGAGCATAGCTTTATAGCTACGTATATAAAGGAATTCTCAATAACCGCTCTAAAAACGTATGTTCTTAGTCAGACCATATGTAACTCATGAAATCAAATTTCATGGTAAAAATCAAAGAATAAAAAAAAAATCAATTCGGCTTCAGTTGTTGCCATGAGTTCTGTGGTATCGAGATAGGGAAAATACATGTGTGCATGCTTTCAAGATGTCTTACCTACTGATTAGAATTACTGTATATTAACCAAAACTAAAATCATGAAACGTCCAAGTCAAAGGAGAAACAGACTAATTGGGTTTGATCTTTTAGGGTGCTATACTCTGGCACTGTAGAGTTCAATAACTTCAGTATCCTAAAATGTCTGAATAATGAAAAGGATATTAAAAAGCTAAAACAAAATCATGTTAGGAAACAATTTCCATCTTTAATCGAGTCTTTCCGTGTGATTTTATAGGCATGATTTGGAGGTTTTATACAATGACACATTTTTGTTCTAATGATCGACTTTTGTCTCGAACTTAGTGTTTTGCAGTTAACATTTAGATACAGTATGCGGTTAATCTTTTTTTAAACATCCATAACTTTGTCAAACCTTCAAGGATTTACTGTACATTTTGTTTTAATTTTCTGTATGCTATTATTTAAAATTCAAGTAATCGAGTATCAAATTCGCTTTCAATAAACGGACTGGAGTACTCGTTGACATTTATAACATAAATATAGATTCAATCACAGTATCTAGCAAGATACGAAATTTTTCCGATCGGGAAAGTTTTATATTTGAAAATTATTGTCGAGACATAAGAAATATTGTAACATACAAAGCAGTATTAGATGTGAATTAAAAAATAGATAAGCGTCATTGGAACAGCAACCCAACGACATAAAAAAGAGAATGAAATTAAGAATTTAACTTACAGTCTGTAACAATAGACATGTGTCTATATAGTATCGTAGGCTCTAATCAGACAGGAGTATATAAAAGTAGTGAATAAACTGATAATGTTCTATAAATGAGATGCCATCGACACCAAATTTATTAGAGAAAAAAATTATAATATTACTAAAGACATCCACTGACGACGGACTGTGGACGGACACGTGCATTCTTTATGATTAAACTGGATTTTTTAGCATTCAATAAGGAATACATGAACATAATGCTACAATGTGAGCGGGAAATTTTAAATGTAAGCGTGACTAACTTGCTTGTCTTCTAACAACAGTCGAGATGATAACAGAAATAAATGTAACTTTTTATGGTGGTCATATTGTTTTATATTGTTTAGATCTTAGCATTCAGAATTCAGAATTTCACCATTTTGACTTATATAATACATATATATTTTGCAGGAATGATGCCGATGTGGCTATACACACTGGGACAACAGTTCATAGATGGCACACTCCAAGTTCCATTTCTCGATATATTTACAACATTGTTGATACTGATAGTTCCACTATTTGTAGGAGTATTCTTACAGAAAAAACTTCCGAAAATAACAAAGGTCATAATTAAGGTAATAAGACCAGTAACCGTTGTTTGCATTATTTTGCTGTTAAGTGTTGGTATCTACTCAAATCTTTATATTTTCAAACTTTTCAAGCCAAAAATAGTATTGGCTGGTTGTTTACTTCCGTATTTTGGATACCTTTTGGGTGGTTTGATATCTTTCATATTCAGATTACCATGGGAGCGCGTGAAAACTGTTGCAATTGAGACAGGGATGCAGAACACAGGAATTGCAACGATTCTAATGATGTATGCTTTTCCACCACCAGATGGATTTATTGCAGCTGTGGCACCAATCGCTTCTGCTGTCATGACTCCACTTCCGTTGTTTTTAATTACTGTCCCATATCTGATATACAAACGATGTAACAAGGATAAGTACGACAGTGTTCCGAATGAAAACGGAAGTATAAAGAAGAAAAAACCTAAAAGTAAAAAGGACTCAAAGGAAACAACTTTGGATGTAGAAAATGGGAAAACCACTGTGATATAAAAAGAGTTCAATATTAATTGTCATATTTATTATCTATATATATGTATATTGTATATTTTACGTATGCAGACAGTACCATGACTTTATGTATTAGCAGGATTTTTTGTGTTCAAAGGTTTTCATTTACATGGGAATTATACGTTTTCATTTTACTACAAATACGATAGCTTTAATAAAAACTAGTAAAATATAATGTTTATGACCATGGTTATGTATACTATACTTTTTTTAATGCGGAATATAGAGAAAAATGATAATGTCGAACCATATATGCTAGCCCATGGGCTCATTACTGTATATTTTTGGCATACATTAAAATTCTTTTTCTTAGTTTATTTGTAACAAATGCACGGATAAAAGATCTGAGATGAGGGATATACGTAAAAAAATCCTCAACTGAAAGATACAAAAAACAAAAACAAAAACAAAAAGAAGTGATTTTTGTTTTTTGATAAAGTTTATCATTAATGTGTGTCTAAAAGTTTTTGAAAACGTTTATATTTTCTTATCTAATGAACCTGAGTGTGATGGTTAAAACTCATATTGATCGCTTTACCACTATAAAAGGGAAATGGGTCTTACGTATTTATAAAGATGGTGTATTGTGTTTGATAAAAGTAATATTATTGATCATTTTATTTTTTAAGGAGAACAATTAAAATATAATGGTTGAATTTTGCATTACAGAAAAACATTGTGGTGATCGGGAGAGAATATATATATATATATATATTCATTATCACTGAACTAGTATATATATTTGTTTAGGGGCCAGCTGAAGGACGCCTCCGCATGCGGGAGGCTCTCGCTGCATTGAAGACCTGTTGGTGACCTTCTGCTGTTGTCTGTTCTATGGTCGGGTTGTTGTCTCTTTGACACATTCCCCATTTCCATTCTCAATTTTATATATTCACAATCAGAGCCGAATTAAATTTAGATATATTTTTTCGCTTAGTGTGTTATTACACATATTTACTTTCACGGTCCTACAATCTGTCGATACCTATAGTTTGGGCATTATATACAAGGCATCGCACAAAGTCATGTTTTTTCTCTGACTGTTAATGACGTCTTTACACTAAATCCATGGAATGTTGGATGTGTACTGATTGATATTTCAGTCTTAGATACATGATTTTTTTTTTAGTTTTTATTGGCTTTGACCTAGCTGTCAGTATCTGCGAGTACTCTCAGATCTGTACTTAGTGTCTTTTTGTTGTGGGTATTTATAAGTACCCGTCCACGTTAACTCTGTGCTTTTGTTAGATGAATTTCTTTTTGTATCCATTTGATGCGTTAAGCCTTTTTCAACTGATTTTTATAGTTTGTTCATATGTTGTACTGTTACACCACTGTCCCAGGTTAGGGGAGGGTTGAGCGCTTACAAACATGTTTAACCCCACCACATTCTTTATGTGCCTGTCCCAAGTCAGGAGCCTGTAGTTCAGTGGTTGTCGTTGGTTCGTGTCTGTCATATTTGTGTTTCGTAAATGATTTTGTTATAAATTAGGCCGTTAGTTTCCTCAATTGAATCGTCTCATATTTTTCATGTCGGTGCCTTTTATATCCGACCATACGGTATGGGTTTTTCTCATTGTTGAAGGCCGAACGGTTGCCTATTATTGCTTACATCCACTTCATTTGAACTTTGGTGGATAGTTGTCTCATTGGCAATCATACCACATCTCCTTATTTCTATATTAATACTATTTACAGTTACATATCAATGAATGATTGTGTGATTTATAAAACTAGAATACGCAACGTACACATACAGGTGCAGAAACATCCATGATTTTGAAAGGGGGTTACCGGTTAGATAATGTTTGGAGTAGGACTTGTAAAAAGTCTATTCATTTGCCTTATTTAGAGCTCTATAAAGTGGTCTTAAAAGTCGATATATCAGAACTTTTTATAACGATTTTCGTTCTTAATTTCTCTTAAGTATGTCGCTAGAAGAGAGCATTTTATAAAGTTGAAATTTTTAAGAATGCCCGCCTCGGCAGGTATTCAAAAAATGGGACGAAAGATACCAGAGGGACAGTCAAACTCATAGATCGAAAACAAACTGACAACGCCATGGCCAAAAATAAAAAGACAAACAGACAAATAATAGTACAGATGACACAACATAGAAAACCAAAGACTAAGCAACACGAACCCCACCAAAAACTGGAGGTGATCTCAGGTGCTCCGGAAGGGTAAATTGAACACTTCAATGGATTTGTCTGAACTCATTTGCTGCTCATTATTCAATGTGTGAAAAATAAATATGTTGATGTATCTTATACTCATTTTAATGCGATATTTGTTTGTATCTTTTTATAATTTTATTAATGAATATTCTTTGTAACTCAATTATGAAATAAAAAGAATATATTTAAAATCTCTTTTCTTTTAACTTTAAGGTGGATCGTTGGTATATATTTCCTCAGATAGAATTTTCTAATACTTTGCCAGAATGTAGATTTTCCATGCTTTTTTTCAAAAATATAATAAAAAGTATGGGTCACCGTGCTTTTTTTTCAAGCTACAAGTTGAGCAAAATTGCCCAAATTTGCATATTGTTCATGACAAAAACACTGTTTTGCGAATAAAAAGAAATCTATGTGATAGAATTTTGAAATAAGATATGAGAATATAGGTTTTAAAATATGCTTTAAGAAAAAAAAGAAGGAAAAATAGTGTCACCGATTTATTTTTTTTTCCTTTCCAAGTAAAATTTGAAAATTTCTCTATCATTTCTTTATAAAAATTGTACTATTGGAGTTATCTCCCCTAAAATGGCGTAACTGACAATTTGATTCGAACAAACACAAATCTTTGGTATTTGATAAGTCAGTCTGAATAATGGAATAAATCACCACCATTAAACAGTCTTACCCATAAATTGCCAATCAATCTCAAAATTTGCAGAGATACAATTCAAGATGGCGGTATACAGTTAATTAGGCTACCTTATTTATGCAAAACAAGTGATGTTGACCGGGAATTTGACAATGGTAAAGCTACCCAATATTGATAAAAAAAATTATGAATAAAAGGAGATGCTGGGTATACTTCAATGGGAAAACAACCCACGCATAAGAAAACATTTAAATGTTAGTATACGTTTCTACTACATGATAAACCACAAAGACATCAAGAAGACAACACAGAATCTTAAATAATAAAAATTGTGCATACTGTATGTCAAACTCTGGATCGTCTCGAGTAAAGACAAGTTGTAAATTAATTCAACGGAGGAACAAGAATCTGCTGTCAACATCAAAATTCTTAAATGAATAAAAAAAAATAAAATAAACATGAAAAATTAAGATGCACGCAATAATGAGGTTCCTTACTTCGGTCAGACACATAAATATCTTTATCTCGACCAGTAAAAGAACAAAAGAAAAGCAGAATATGGATCATGAAATCAGTCTAAAAAAAGCACTCAACTCAATATTACCGATATACCAGACGCTTGTTGATTGCTTAATGTCCAATGGCAAATATTTCATGCATGTTCAGTACATGAACAAAATAACAATAAATACGGTAGGTAGATCCTGTAATAGACGCCATCCTAGATGAAGCTCGGAGAAATTTTGACTGCCACTGGAAAATGTCTATTTGATAGAGACAGAAATTTTGCCTTGCAACAGGCAACTTACGGACCCCTCAAAGAGTTATTGCAAGGGTTCTTAATGTGCCGAGAGTGGCATTCTCTTTACACTATGCATCGGATTTATCGTTCTCATTCTTACCGGACGTGGCTGTGTACTTGTACATCCCGCATAGACAAACAGACGCCACAATATTAGTAAGGGGATTACTTCCGGTCGGAAGAATACCAGAGTACTTCTATTCCCTAGTCCCCTTTGGGTCGTAAAACAGACGACAAATACAAGCTACAAGTCAAATAATTATAATATACCAATACGGTAGAATGCTCAGAGTTACTGATAGACGCCTCAGAGAACTTAATCTGTGAATATAGAAATCATTACTTCTTACACTCTGAGAGGGAAGCAATGAACAGTTTTTGTAACATGAATGGTAATTTTTCCTTTGATCTTCGAGTGAGTTAACTTCCGTTATTTTTAAAAGGAATGCGTTAACTGAATCATTTTTTAGTTATTGCAGTCTCCAGGTCCGCTGTGTGTCGTTTGTCGTAGGAAAAGCAAAGAATGTGAGTAGCTTAGACCAGTGCTCTAACTTCAATCTCAAGTTTGTTATTTCACTGTCTAGCTCCCCTCTATGGCCTCGTAAACAACGAAATCAATGAACATAAAATGTACTAATAAATTTAAACAAAATTCATACACAACAGTAAATAATAAAAAAAAAATCGGGAAAATGGGGGGTGGGGGGGGGCTGACCCTTTAACTAGTTAAACTTTTAAACTTAACCCTAAATTAATTCCTATACTTGAAACAAATGAATGCCCGAAGAAAGCTACAAAAAGGATTAACGTGGTCTATAAAAAAAGAGGCGATATTGATAAATTGGTTAATACTTGTTTTTATCGTGTCAAAGTGGAATATATTCCAAAAAAAATTGTCACTGGATTTTTAGTCGTTTCATTTCCCTCACTTTTTTAAGGTAAATCTCCGTGAATTGAACATGCTTACAATATTTATCATTGGATCTTACGCATGCAATCAACAGCCCATCTATTACCCGATCATTTCCATGGTGTTGGGAAAGGTAGAATACCTTCACAATAAGGTTTAAAAAGTTTCGTTTACCTCTTCCAAAACTACACGTCCTATTGGTTTTGAAAGCAGGCAGCGTGGTTTACATCTAACAATAGTTTGCATCTATCCCCTCAAGAATTTTCGCCCGGGGAGAGAGGCACTTCAATAACGCATTAATCGCTCTATGGTCTTTAAACCATGATGACAGTATCACGGCAACAATTCATTTACATGTATATCTATCATTAAATCAAATCCAACTAAAAGGTCCGATCCTCCAATTACACTCATAAAAACTAGATATAACTGAATTAAAATTCTTAAGGTTGTAAAAAAAACAGATCCGTGTCATATGAAAACAAATTAGACATCGTCCGTTATGAAAAACCTCAAATCAGGTCATGTATATAGACATCATATGAACTATTTCAGGTATTCATAACTAGACGAATTTCGAAAAAGGTGAATACAAGTTTACGTTCGTCTGCACCGAAATGAGCACCAGCCGCTACAAAGTAGTTTTTTCCTGATTTTCAAAGCCATAACAAAGCATTTTCCATAGTTGTCTCCTCTTAAACGAAATAATGCACCTATCTAGATTAAAAAAGTTAAATCACAAAGAAATTAATTTAATGCCGCCACATATTCATGTACAAATATAAAAATAAGGCGATGTGGTATGATTGCTTTAATGAGACAACTATCCACCAGCCGAGAGACCAAAGGAATGACTAAAGATAATACCATATATTTAACTGTAAACGACTACGGACTGACAAAATGAAAAACAATGCAAAGGAAAAAAGAAGATGGCCTGATCAGGAACCTCGCCAGTAGTTGTTTCATGTCATATAAATTAAATGTTTGTTGAAATACTTGCACAAAAAATAAGTTTTGACAACAATTATTTTATCATTAACACAAAGAATCAATTAGGAATAGTTTAGTTTACGTTTATGTATACATATCATTATATATTCACTAACGCAAATTTACAGATCTAACATTGTTGGGCTGTTATTTAGACGAATTATATATATATACATATAATACCGTTTCGATTCCTAACATCACTGAAGAGACATTAATTGTCGAAATCCGGATATGGTGTACAAAAACCTTTGCACCTTTTGTTTGCGGTATATCATCTTTTCCGCAAGTTTATTGTTTTCTTTTTAGTGTTAAATTTATAATTAAGATCCATTTATTATATCGGTGATCCGTTTATTTGGCAATCGCCAATGGCAGTCAGCAGGGTTTAAGAACATTTGTTGTTCGACCTGTTAGTCGAATGCGTTTTGTTAAAGTATACTTTTTTCACTTTTTTGGTCTTTTGGAAAATGTTGTTTGTGCTGTATTTAGACCCCTCTAACAAGCAATTTGTTATGCATGCACACGTATAAAAATTGCGGTTTTTATCCAACGCAATCATAGCTTTGAACGTTGTTTTCAACTTAGACTTGTTTATATATATATATATATTTCGTTGAAATCCCAGCACGGAAATAAGGTTCTGAATAATTGTAAATTTTTACACAAAATTCATTTTTGAACTAAGATTTTGTTTTAGGAATGAATTTTAAACTGCATATTATACCTTTCAATTTTTGTTGAAATACTGTGCACAAAAGATGGCTTTCAAAAAATTCCACAATTTCACAAAAATCTATTTTTGACGCTGAATAAATTTTGCGTAATATTTTATACCAGTACATCAATTACAATTATACTGAAATGTTGATTACTATTGGCCACCAAAAATTTCAAACAAGAAGCTTCGTATCAGATGCCAACAACAAGATATAGCCACAACTATAATGAGGAGACGCTGTACCATATCAGGAATATGGCAGTTGTAATCGATTCGTTTGATGTGTTTGAGCTTTTGATTTTGCCATTTGAATTAGGGATTTTCCTTTTTGAATTTTCCTCGGAGTTCAGTATTTTTGTGATTTTCCTTTTTTGGACATGTCCTTCGGAAAGACCAGGAGGATATCACAAAAACAGCACACCACTGGACCCCAGAAGGAAAAAGAAGGAGAGGAAGACCCAAAATGACATAGAGGAGAACTGTAGAGGCAGCGGCTAGTAAACATCAACAGACATGGGGCACACTACAGAAAACTGCCAACGACCGACAAAAGTGGAAAAACTTCGTTACTGCCCTACACGCCAATGGCGTACAAGGGCAGTAAGTAAGTAAGAAAGTTGATTACTATCACTTAAATTTTATTCTTAAAATTCGTGTTTTTCAACAAAACTAATTTTCTTCCCAAATCCGTTTTGACACTGGGAATCAATTTTGGATACCATATTACGCCTAAATATCAATCCCTGTATGCTGAAAAACTGATAATCTGTTTTCCTGAGTCAGTTAATAGTTTAGTTTAGTAGCTTGTTCAAACATCTTTTAACCTTTCAGGATGTCCAAAAATTTGATGCCCAGAAAATAATAAATCTTTGATCTCCCTTTTGTAAGGTACATAATTCGCAATAGTAAATGGAGAGAAGACGGTTAATTGAGATTAAAAGGTGGAATTACTTTTTTCAATGGTTTCTTTTATTCATTGTACCAACAATATTTACTTACAGTAGCGATGTGGAACGGTGATAATCTAACAATAGACCTTATTTAATAATTTGATACTTATACTGTATATATAATATTGTATATAATGAAAGTTAAAAGGGTACATTTGTCAAA